GTGTACGCGTGTGTACGTGGCACCGTATTACACGCTAGCCACCATGCAACGGGCAGAGGAGAGAGCGGACTAAAAATTTTCGGTGAAGAAAGGTCTATACGTATGTATATGTATAATATATTTTCCCGTGGAATGAAAACGCCCCTGTAATTTCCGCGTGTCGTTTTCGCTTCGACGATTAAAACAGCTCCGAGCGATGGAGGAAGCTCGTGCCGACCGGAAGCAACAAATTGTCGAAAAACAAGCCGAGAACAGCTGAAAAAATATACATTCTACGAGGATGCATTGAGCAATAAAGCGAGCCTCGCAAACGATTTCCTTAAGATAGCCTCGCGCCGAGAGCATTTTTATAGTTCCCCCGATAAGATACTAAAAATTTAAAACGTTACGACACGCATTACAAATTGCATGGCGACACCTGTTTTATTTTCCACCCTACGGCTATTCCATTACACCAGCATCGTAATTTCATCGAGTCTAAAGGAGTTTTCCGTTTTCCTAAGTCGCGCTGGATAAACTCGACGGCAAACCTTCTCGCGATCACCGCGGATGAATTTTATCGAACAAAGAGGAGAAGCGTAATCGCGCGCAGGTTCAAAGCGACGCGCGAGCGTTAATTTCGTTCCATCATAGTTGAACGTGCTAGGATGCCTACACAAAGGCGGAACGGCAGGAGCTGGAACTAATAGAAAAAGCGTTGAGCGGCGAAAGAAGTTCGATAAGATAAAAACGGAACGTATTAAAAGTGGAAGCCGTTCTTGAGCGAGGCACAAGAAGCATACTCCGATGATGAAGTTAGCCACGAGAGGAATCGTTCGTACGCTAAAGCGAGAGGACGCGCCGCGATAAGTCTGTTAACGACTCGACTAATAGCGACGGTAGTTCTTGCTATATCTATACAACTGAGAGAAAAAATCACGGACTGGGACTAAAAGCGTCATAAAAATTCTCGCCTCCTCAAACACCGCGTGCAAACGCAGGTGCTGTACGGATACCACACCACGTTCGATAAGATTAGTAGATTTCTAAGAATGTACTGTTCTACGTCATGGGTAGCGCCGTTTTAATAAATTACTCGGTTTCGAGATGACGGAATCACGCAAGTTTCGTTGCTCGGAGCGATGCAGTATTTCACGGAACGACGGAAATTGTACCTATTAATCTTTTAAGAGCGATTCGTTTGACGGCGTAACGCCGGGTCGGAGTCACACGGCCGACAACGAAGGGAAAAGAACTACCTGTGTGCACGTTTTCCCAATCTCCCGCTCGGTTGGCGCGTCGAGAGCGGCTTGGAGAGGTTCGCGCCTGTGTAAAAGGGGAGAGAGGAAAAACAGGGAGGGTAGTGAGAGTTAGAAAGCCGTGAAAACGTAAGAGGCTGAAAAAGAGGCCCGGAAATCAGGAGACTGTAAAACATTTTTAAGGATGGAGGAACTTCGATACTGGAATACCTCGAAAGATTCGTAACGCGAGGAGCGCGTCGAGCTGATCTCGTAAAACGTGAGACTGACAATCGTAGGGCAGCGAGGATGGATTGGCATCGGCGCGCAAGTGAATTTCACGCGGACCATCGGACAATACGAATGCGACGACCTGATATGTGCCAATCTGAGAACGGCTGGTAGATTCGTTTTTCCCGTCCTCGCGACATTGACGTAAAAATGACCGGTACAACGGTGAAAAACGGTTGACCGGTGCGAACAAGTTACGCGTCAAGCAGTTTTATCGTCGTCGATCGATGAATGGAATTTTATCGATATCTTTACGATCGGCGATGTACTACGTTCGACGCACGTCCATCCACTCTTTGTTATGTAAATGCGTCGCGAGTTAATAGATTTATAGAAATTTATGAGGGGCTTAAACGTGATCTACAGCTGAGGGCCGCTGAACGCAGAGCAAGATAATGGAGCTCTTGGATCTTTTTTTTTTTTTCCTTTCTTTTTTCCGTCTCCGAGCAGAGGACATTTTTTTTTACACTTCCGTAGAGTATCTGAATCCTGTGCGTTTTGAGGTAACGACGACAGTCTTCCGGCGCGTGCATAATTAAGGCGCGCGTACCACGGCTCGTAAAGTTTATCGTGCAATTTGCGTAATGTGCGTAGAGGAAAATTCTAACGAGTAAGAAGCGTACAGACGCGAGGTTCTTTCAATTAATTCTGGAGCGGCAACGCTAGCACCGATTAAATAAATAATCGAGCATTAAACGCGGTCACTGCGACCGGAAGGGAGAGAAACAAAGAAAGAGAGAAAAAAAGGTGGTTGGTCGAGGAGAAATCTTAGATAGGACCACACGGGCGAAACGATATCCGAGGATTAATTAAAAGAGATACAACAGTTCTCCCGTTTCCGTAACTTCTTCGTTTATTGCATTCACCAGTCTTCAACTTGTTTGTATTCGTCTCGTCTGTTCGACTACTCTTCTTAAATTAGATACAGATTTGCTCGCGACGCGACACGGGTGGAAGACTCGAGTTCAATTATTTACAAATGCAAAAGAGGATTACTGCAACCCATTTCGTAAATCGCAACGTAACGAAGACGAAGGAGATTTCGTCCTGCTCTTCGTCGCGTAGTTCTGAAAATCTGTACACCCGAACGACTACTATCCACGTTACTACGTGGAAGGGAAAAACGGGCAAGCGAAACGAATGAACGAACGAACCACCGGTACAAATCCTCTTTTAATTTCTAGCGTCCCTTAGGGCAAAGGAAAATGCGAGGTTTGCGGTGATCCCATTTGTCTTCCAGTTTTCGGTCCACCCGTTGTCAGGTACAAATGTAAAGGGCGACGAACACGTGAGCGTAGATCTCTACCTGTTTCGACGAGATGGTTGCCTCCAGATACAGTTGCCCGTTTCGTTCGCTCTTCTTTTCCCCATTCTCGGATGCATGTTCGACACAGGGATTACTCGGCAGATTTTCCTTTCCCGTGAAACTTTTCTATGCGAACGAAAATGGTTTTCCCCGGCAAGCAATTAGAAGCCAGGTTACGTATTTCGAATGCGGGATGATCCACGCACTTACGACGAAAAAAAAGAAATAGCATTTCACCAGCGAATCTCGCGACCCAAAACTTTTATTCTCTGTCCGCTACTGTCCGAGCCGGCGAGCGGCGATCGGAAAAACGCATAAATACAAAGGAATTATGGGACTAAATTACGCAGTACATTTGAGAGAGTGCACGCGCGGCACGAAGTAGCTTCCGACTGGCCAATCGATGGAAACCCGTTTTTTTTTTTTCAACTCGCGTACATCATAGTCGAAATCGAAACTGACAACAAAAACCTCGTACCGCTACGCGTATGGCGTGCAATAAATCACGGTAAAGAGAGCCCGCGATCCTTTTTTCTCCCCTAACTGTAACCTGACGAAACCCTAGCTTCTCCGTTACCGTCTGTCTTTTCAGCCTGCTCATCCTACAAACTGTCGTTCCTAGCCTATTTACGAAGAGATTCGGAGGCTGGAACCTCGTCTCTTCTTACAAATATTCGGAACACGAAAATAGAGACTACGTGTCGTCGTATGAAAATCTTTAGGAAAACCCTGCGTGCATTGTTCGCTAGTTTGACACGATAATGCGATCAAGTCTGTATCTCCTAAGGGAACGACATTTTTCCTACGTATCAAAAACGAGATACGGTAATGGAGAGTGGTCCCACTCGCCCATCGTTCGGTCATATACAGACACATTTCCTGCGTAATCCTGTAAGCCGTAAGCTATAAGACGACTGGATTGGGGTCGATCTCATAAAGAAAAGCTAGCCGACCGCGTATCGATGCGGCTTATCAACAGAAATCACCCGCTAATGGAAGCGTCCGCAACAGAGGCGCGAATGCGCTGGATAAAAAAGGGTCCACCCTACGGATATCACCCTCGCACGGTCACTGACCAACCAACTGGACGCGAACAGCTGAGAATGAAGCGTGTCACGAAAAGTTAACGTGAGCTCGCCTGTGGATGCGAACGACCACCTGACACGAATAAAAGGGACGGAGGGTGCGAGACCATTGTCGCCGAACAATTTCAGGGAAACCGACTGGTCAATTGACTTTTCCTATCGACGCGGCAGAATGTAACTGTGATTCACTCGCAGTCTCGGCTGCGGGGAGTTACTTTTCCTCGATAAAAAGTGTACAACGCAAGATATCGCAAATGTTTCGAGGCATGTCAAAATAAATTGTGTTAGACGTTCATTGTAAAGTAGAGCTCGAGGGTATACGACAGCCAGTGAAAGGTAATGTCTGCGCGCGGAACGAGCAGTTGATGTAATTTTGACTATGTTCCTTTGCACCTTTACACGTTGGCAGGAAGTCCACCCGATAAAGGCGACTTAATTGGCGAGCAAGTGAGAATTGTTGCGGACAGCGAGCACACCGGGTGGGGGTGCGACATCGATCAATAGAGTTTTCTAATTGAACCCGACGACAACTGGCCGACGATTCGACGACAAATTTCACGCGGTAATACTGGTCCGTATATACTTTTCGAGACCGGTCCATATGTTCCCGCAAAACCCGCCCGTGGAAGATGACCCCATTCACGGCTCGATCACAATGCCGCTTAAATGTGCCAACGCGGCGTTAAATCGGGCCATAGGTCGGAACTCGCATTGAATGGCACGGTTGCCGGGCTCGTTAGTTTATCATTTGGAACCGATATATAATTTCAGAGCATCGTTCGAAAAGATCGAGCTGTTCGAATGGATTTCAGGTTTTACGATTACGGCTCCGGCCGTTTAAGCTCCGACTATGAATCCCAATCTGTCCTTGGAGCTAACGAGTCGTCGAACGATCCGCGATAGTATTTATTTGAAAATTTAAAGCGAAAAAGTAAAAAAGTGAATTAGAGTCCAGTTCGTGTTAATCCCATCGATTCTCTCGTTTGACTCGCTTTAATCTTTACTGTGTGAAACTCTATCGCGAGCGAGCACGGAGATGAAAGAGCGAGAAGGTGGTTTGATGGTAAAGCGTGCGGAGATTAAATAACTATTGGATCTTACCTAAATAACGGCGGTTCTACGTCCATTGATACTGGGCCGGGGGCGGTGGCGGTGGCGGTAACGGCAGAGGTCTCTCCAAAACAGGAACAGGGGACACGTCTGGCATGGCGAACCTTAGCTTCTGCCAAAACAACTTGTCCCCCCAGACCAGCACGGTGTGCGACGAGATTCTCTTTTTGAGATCGGCATCGAGATCACGCGGACACACGCCGCCTACCAGCAGTAGGATCACCGAACGGCCCTTGCCTTTCAGAGCGTCCCTGAGAGCCGCTTTAAACTCGAACCTGGCCCATTCGCCGTGCAGAAAGTTTTTCGACAATACCAGGATTGTACGCCTGGAGGAGTCGGCCGCCTCCGCGACCGCGTCAGTCACGTTGCTGCCAGCGCCCAGATCGCGATAGTGCAAACACAAACGGTACGAAGTTTCCAGACCGGGAACCAGGATCGTTGAGACGAACGCCTCGTCCACGGCGGAGTAGGAGATGTACGCGTCGAAGGGCTTCTCCTGGTCTTCGAACGCCGCCGTCTTGTAACATGCTCTCAGGCCGCATCTGCTCGCGGCCCACGTTCTCAGCGTGCGTCGATGCCTGAACGCGCCGCAGACGAGGGCGACCATCGCGAAAACGAGCACGGCCGTGGCCAGCAGTAGTGGTAGATAAGCCTCGAGCGGTCGAGTCTCGATTACTGAGGTGGTGCTCGTTAGCGCCGCGCAATTGCTGACCGATCCGTTCGTTGAAAGAGCTATGGGCATGCCGAGGGAACAGGTGACGCTCCTCCAGTCGCTGATCTTCGCTGTGTTCCGGGACATCCACTCGCGCACGCGGTCCAGGTAGGAGCACTCGCAGCTCCACGGGTTGCTCGACAGCCCGATGTCGACCAGGTACGGGTTCTGACCTAGCTGCCAAACGGCGAAAGTGCCCAGTCGATTGTTCTCCAGTCTCAACACCTCCAGCTGACGCAGCGGGAGGAACGTACCGTTATCTATGTACGTGAGCAGATTATTCTGCAGGTAGAGTTCCTTTAAGTTCTCCAACGGCATCAGTTCGACACCGTTTAGCACGCTTATCTTGTTGTTCTCCAGATGAAGAACCAGCAGCCGTTTGAGACCGCTAAATGTGTGATTGCGCACAGCGCTGATGTTGCTATCGTTCGCGTACAGTATCTGTAGATTCTTTCGACCGATGAACGAATGAGAATTCAATTCACCGAAATTGTTTCCATCGAGGTAGACCTCGGTGGCGTCCATGGGCAATCGGCCGGGGAGGGTTTTGTAGCCGGAGTTGGAACAATCCACCACGTTCGCCGACCAGGATTGATCGTGATAGCAAGTACAGTTGGCCGGGCAGGTCATCTCGCAATCGCAGGCGTCGAAGTCGCAGCAATGACAGAGCGCGAAGCAGTGCGCCTTGTATGTGCACAGGAATTGCGACGGTTTCGCCTCGAGCAACGGAATAAGAGATTTGTGCCGATCATACGGAAGCTTGCAGTAAACCGACTTGAGGTCCATCACCCTCGGGTGTTGTCTGAGCGAGAGCGTGTTGATCCTTTGCAGCCACTCGGTGGTGCAGTCGCATATGAACGGGTTCCCACCGATGTAGAATTCCGGCAATTGTCGGTAAGCCGGCACCTGCGTCAACTGGAACGCGGACAAGTTCATCCGAACGATCTGGTTCGCGTACAGATCGACCCTGGTGAGATTCTTCTTGTCGAAGAAGGTCTGCGGCTCGACCGTTTGAATCAGATTGTCGTTCACGAACAGAATCTCGATGGAATCCGGTATCGACCTCGAGTGTATCCTCGTTAGCCGGTTGAACGACACGTCGAGCGTCTGTAATCTCATGCCCTGTGGCGCGACACCGAGGTCCATAATAAGATTTTTATGCAGATCCATCCACTGCAATTTCTCCGGCAGGTAACCGTAATCGAACTTGACGATCATGTTGTCGGACATGTTCAGCCAGAGGAGACCGGGCGCGCTAGCGAACATACTCGACATGTCTTGCAACAGATTCGAGTCCATACGAATCGCCTGCAACTCCGGGTTCGCGGAGAACACGTTGTCCTCCACCACCTCGATTCGATTTCTGGCCAAGTTCAGGATCTGTAGCGCGGGCAATTCGGCGAAGTCTTCCGCCGTCACGTTCGTGATCTCGTTACCGATCATTCGTAATCCGTAGAGGTTGGGCATTCCCCGGAAACCGGGCCTGTTCAGGCTCCTGATCTGATTCTCGCCGAGGTCCAGCGTACGGAGCATTCTCATATCCTTCAACGCGACTGGTATGCTGTCCAGGCTATTTCCGGACAAGCTCAGATCCTGCATACTGGAACAATTCCGGAAGGCGTCCGGATGGATACCCTCTAGTTGATTCGAATCGAGCGAGAGTAGAGACAGCGCGAACAGACCGTTCAGGGAGTAGGCGTCCAAGTAAGTCAATCGATTGTACGCCAGATCCAGTGTGTGGAGATTGCTCATCGGTGCGAACGTATCCGCCGGAATCGTCTCGATCTCGTTGTATTGCAAATTCAATATCTGCAAGGTATAGAGGTCTTTGAAGAGGGCCGGGTCCAGCTTGGTGATCCTGTTGTGGGACAAATTCAAGAGAACCAGTCGAATCAGTCTGGAGAATGTGGCGGAATTCAACCACGAGCTTGTCAACACGTTCCTCGACAAATCCAAGGCGACCAGCTGATCCATCCCCGCGACTAGGCCCGGTGACAGCACGCTGATGGAATTGTTCTGTAGCCGCAGTTCCTTCAACGATTTAGCCGCGTCTCGGAACATCTCCGTCGGCAACGCGACGATTCGATTCCCGGAAAGGTCGAACGTCTCAAGGGATCTGAGCCCGTGGAGCGCCTCGTCCGCCACCATGGAGATCGCGTTGTTCGACAAGTTGAGCACGCGGAGCCTCTTCAGCGATGTGAATCCGTAGGCGGGCAACACCGAAATCTGATTGTTCGATACGTCCAACGACTGAACGTCGAGAGAACACGGGAACGGCGACGGAGTCGATTCCTGCAGACGTCTCGGATGTTTCTCCGCGATGTCCCTGAATCCCAGCTCGGCGATGTCCTTCAGCATGTTCCAGGACACGTTCAACGTCAGCAGATTCGACAACGGACAGAACAAATGTTCCGGTATCTGCCAGATGTTGTTCCAAGATAAATCGATCTTCTCGATCTGCGGTACAGAGTCGAACGCGCCGCTCTCCAACTCCAAACTGTACTTGCTCTTACGCCCGTTCAAGGTTCTGACCGTCAGATTGCGGAGATCCCGCAGACCGTTCAGAACTTTCGCCGGCCAGTGCACCAGCTTGCACCCGGTCAGTCTCAACGATCGTAATCTCCATAGTTGCGCGAACCCGTCCACGTTCGGGACGCTGCCACCGCCGTTCTCGAACAATGATTCCTCCGTATCCTCACATAGTACGTTCATCGAGGTCACGTACTCGCTGGTCGCCTGCGAGAAGTTCGCCCTGAGAGAATCGTTCCCGGCGTAGGCGAGTCGTCGGTGAATGCAAGTGACCGCGCCATCCTGTCTGGAGTCCCACGAGCAGTGTTCCGGCAAATCGAGCCTCGGCGGCAATTCACTGGTCACCGCGAGCACGTGGTATACCGGGACTAAGAGATAGCAACAGTATACCAATAACGCCAGCGACAACACCGAGAGCTCTTCCGGTTTTCGCATCTTTACCGAACCGCTCGTCGTTGCCTTCTCTTATTTTCGTTCCCTCGTTGTCTCCTGCCGGTCATCACACGCCGCCTCGGCCCCGCTGTTAGTGCACGTTGTCGTTGCTCGTTTCCGCCCCCCAATATTTATTCCGAGACACTGGCATGTGTGCCTTCACCGGCAATCGATATCGAACTCGCGATTCGGCTACTGACTCGAACGCCCCGGATCATGACGATCCCGTTTACAGGAAAATATTACGCGATGCTCTACAGCAGTCGCCTATCCGCGCGAACGGCTCGTTTAATCGACTCGACGATATGCGAGGGTGTTACCGCGCGCGCGTTTCACTGATGACACGAGTGCTTCCAAGTAGCTTACACTTAAAAAGAATCACACTTCACTTGGCGCGGCGAATCGTTCAATCCAACGCGCGGGAGTACCCATCGTACTTAACCAAGTTGTAAGCGCCGCACGTTTCGAGACACTTGACCGGTTCGGAAGAATCCTCGACGACTGACGCGTACTCGCGATGATTAATTATACACCCGCTAAGGTGCCTGTTAATTTCAGTTCCCGGTGAATCTCGTTTTCTACTCTCGATAAGGCGTACCCTGTATCAAAATGATAATTGTTCCCGGAGCGGACACGTCGCCGAGAAACCGACTCCTTTCCTTCCGATGCTCATGCTTACGAATTTCTAATTTCGCGCACTCTGCTCTAAAATATACCGTGACGTTTCTAAGTGTTCCATCATCGAGTCACAGTTTATAATTAACGATCGCGTTCACGAGATCATGATTTCTTTACGAGCGAAAAAGAGTTAACTCAGAAGTACAAACTCCCCTCGACGTAAAATCACCACTATCGCAACACTCGGTACGGCGACCACCGCGCGACTGATGTTGAGATCACCTCCGCGTCTAACTCGACGCAGCGTCCGAGCGACTCGTTCGTTCCCCCACCACCTGGCGGCAGCACTCATACACGGGAGAGCCGGCATTCAGGGAGCACGCGCTTCTCTACTCCCCATAGTGAGAGGAAGACGCCACGACATGTTTCCTGCGTTCTCTTCACCGGTGGTACGTTTTTCTTTTTCTCGCTTGTGCGCATTTCTCTTTAACCAACGCTCGATCCCTTACAGAGAACACGACAACTGCGTGTAGAAAAGGACGAACTCGTGTGCACACGCAGCGTCTTTATCTTACTCGTCGAAGCGAAAGTGTCCAGCCCGTCGAACCCACGCGCGACTCGTGTTTCTCTCTCGCTCCTCGCCTGTTCTGGGCCTTCATCGAGACACCTTACACTTCCACGTCCACGGTCCACGGCGACGAAATATTATCCCGAACTGGACGACCACCCTGAGCTATCAACCGAATACGTAAGTAGAACAATACTTGTACAAAATGGCTGCCTTTTTACGTTTTATTTTGTGACAATGTCACCGTATTTATCAATGTCAATGTGTTCGCCTCGTTAAAAGTGCAATACATACTATCCGTTGCTGTGTTTGCCAGTGACACCCATTTACATAGATTAGCTATTACTACAGAATATTCAATTGTTCTTTACATTCTATACGTCTAGAGTGATTGGCGATAGCGATGAACTTTTGAATTCAACCTCTGAAATGATTCGAAACTTTTCAAGCCAGTGAAGATTCGAATCGCTTCCAACATGATTTAATATCTAAAACTTCTTGAAGTCTTGACTGTTGAGTATGTTGATCGGTTTTTGGTCTTAAAAGCTTTGATCTGTCCCAAGTCTTGCATGTCTTGAAAACGTTGGTACATGATAACACTTGAAAACTCAGGGGGAATATTTATCAGAACTTACAATGCTTTCAAGATTCGATACGAATCAAGACTTTGAAGGTATCGAAACATGTTCAAAACGATTAGAATTTTTTGTTTTACCGTGTACAATATTCGAAATTTGCAACGGTACGAGATGGTTTATTATTATAGTCCGCCCTTGTATAGGAAGGTGTACTATTATATTTTGCATTTAGTGTGAACGTTTGCCTGTTTACGAAATTATTTGTAGTGTTATTATTAAATCGATTCGTCTGGGACGTATTGCGAGGAGGTAAAGAAAGGGATTCGGATCGTAGCTTGCAGTTTGCAAGAAGCTGGCCCGAACTGCAAACCGGTCTCTCGTCTCTCTTCGTTTCTCTATCGCATATCGATCTACGGTTACACGATATTCAGAGCACTACTCCTCGGCCGAGGACTGATCGTAAAAAGGTTTCGATCAATTTTTAAGTGGCCGCTCGTTCGACACGGTTTTCTGTTTCTTTCTACGCGGTTGGCCGGCTCGAAACCGGCAAAGAAAAGAAGGATAGGGAGGGTCGTCGGACACGGACACGAGCGTATACGTATTCATAATTTATAGGCGATCCTCGCGGGCTATCGAGATGTTCGATTTGTGTGTTACACGACGAACTGACTCCGCAGGATCGAGTTCTCGATACGCTCCGCTCTGAATAGGCCTCGCTGATTCATTCTTGTCCACCCATCGGAGAGACTTTCGACTTGATCGATGATGATCCAGGATGATTTGTATTACGTTCCTCCTGTCGCGGTGAATTGAATTTCGGGGAATCCGCTCGCGATCCACGACTCGTTTTATGCGATAAGCGGCCACGAAAGGAGCGAAGATTAGGCTGCGTTGCGTTCTCGCGTTCTGATTAGAGATCTCAAACGGGGATCATTGAAACTCCTACGCGAACTTACAGATTCGTCTATTCGAGACGAGAGAGTTCCTTGGGAGTGATCGATCACCATCTTAATTGATGCATAGCGAACCGAAAAATATGTTGGACGGTATCGTGTGCTGCGTGGAATTGTAGTTCTTAAATATGCGTCGAGCAGTCCCCGACTTCGACTCGGTCCCAGGACACTTGCATATTATTTTATGATAATTAACGAAGATCCATCGGATGAACGGTTAATCCAGCTGATATCTATTACGCAACAGACATAATAAGACCGATACGAATCAGCGAAAATTGAACGGATATCGTGAGACGATCTCTCGAAACGCAATTAATACTTCTTACAATTAGTTAGCCGAGGGCGACGGGAAGATCACGCCCAATGAACAGTCGTAATTAAAACCGTTAGGAGCCTCGGATAGGGTCGTTATAACCGAGATGGGAGAAGTACGCGGGAGGTCGAAGAAAGTTTCCTTTCGGATGGGAAACAGCCAGGGTAAAGTCAACTGTGGGAAGCCATAAACTCAGACGTTTGCTAGAAACAGGTCTCCGTCGATGCTCGTCGTTTGAACGGACAGGTGTTCTACGGAAGGAAGAAAGGGCACCGAAAACACTTGTTCGGACTAGATAGCGTGCGCGCCTTCGTCTGTTTACCTTACGCTTATCTTATTTACGTCCCGTGTTCGCATTTACCCTTCTTTGAATTTACTTACAACGAATCGTCGTTCGTGAAGAAATCGAGACCGTACCTACATATACACGCTGGTTGTTCGCGGCAAACTTGCCCCCTTTCCGATTTCGAAAATCAATTAGCGGTAGATTCAGTATCCATTTAAAAGAGGGTGAGTCGCGTGAGTAGCGCGCAACCTTCTGGGCGGAGCGGCTATCGGAGTGGATCGGATCGGCCGGGAATGACGGCGAAAAAGAAGTTTTAATTAAGGCTAGAATAAGAGTTTAATCGAGCAAAAGGGATTAATTGCCTAGGGGTTAAACGAGCGAGGCGAGGCGAGGCGAGGGTCAAAGAGCTGCCACGCCGCCGTTGCAGCTACTCCTCGATGATTCCTCGTGGCTTTCTCGAGTGGCTCGTGGCTCCGTGGACAAGAGAGAGGAGGCCGCCCCATAAATACTCGCGTCGAATGCTTCTCTGAAAGCCCTTTTTCGTTCGCAAACAAAACCGGCCGCCTCGATACTCGTGTCAATGGGAGACGATGTTATTAAAAGCTACGAGCTTTTCTGGTAACGTCACATAGTTACCGTCGCTCGTTGAATTCTCGAGCACTTCGCCAACAAGACTCTTCGTCCCGTGTATCGATTCTCCTGACACATCGCTCACGGGGTGGCTCGATTAGTTTCGTTATTCCAATCGCCTCGAAAACCTCGTACGTATCGATCCTCAATTTAATATTTCACTTCGCTTATGCAGCGATTTAATACGGGAGTAAAAAGCTTCTTCTTTTGCGACTCTTTTTAGAGTTCCTCGAGATGGTTAGAATTTAAATCTTCACCCGGTATGCTACAACGAATGTATTTAACTCCATGATTCTGCAATCTTTTAGCGATTCTCGCAGAATCATTGGCGATCGTAAGAAAGTTCGAAGCACCCTCGAAGCGGCGCTCCTTCGCTTGTGTCTCGGCGAAACGATTTTAAACGATGCGTTAAATCGTATAATTAGCAGTACCCGTTTTTCGAATAGCAATCGCAATTTTCCATGAGTATTAAATTTCGAAACTACGTATCTATTAACGTTTCCAATTATGTACTAATTGACCTCGCTATTGAAACTGACCGAACCATGATATTAGGTACACATAATCGCGATAATTACGCGCGTTCATTAGTTCTGTGATGGGCTACTATGCAAATGACAAATATTGGCAATTTCGTAGTTCGCGGCAAGCTGCCTGTTTATACAAAAAACGTGTACAAATACAATTCGGCGACCTTCGCCTCGTGTTCGTTAAAATAACGAATACCTAGTATAAATATCTCTACGTGGGACGCGTTCTATCGGCCGGACCGGATGGTATACGGTCTTTTTTTTAAAAAAAAAAGACGGGTGCAGGAATGTCCGAAAAACATTTGCGAGAACATATCGACGCGAGGCGTCGCGAGTCCCGACGCTCTTCGAATCGCTTTTAGCGGGCCGTATAGCGACGTCGATCTATGACGTTCAGAAATATTTGCCGTTGGAACGTTGTCACTGTGCTCGCCGCTATAATGCGTCGACGGACAACGGCGCGTGCTTTACGACGATTTGATTTACATTGGATTTTTCCGGGCTGCCAACGGTATTTCAACCGTGGCGTATACGTACTATCGAAAATCCGGGAACGCGCACCTTCCTCCTTGTCAAACAAGTTTGTCACCGACACGAACGGAAGAGTGTATAAAATAAACATCCCGCCGACACCGCGAACACCTGGTGCGGTCTTCCATCTTTTCTCGCGCGAAACACAGAAAATATAACCCAGTTCTGGGACAGTGGAGTCTCCTGTTTGTCGCGCTCCAGGGTGCAGAGAATCGTATCTTATCGTTAGTATTTGTCAATTATTTTTCTTTATCGTATCCAACAAGCGTGGCAAACGATTGACGAAAGTAAAGAGAAGACGAGAAAGTAACCAACCATGCGAAAATAATTGGCAATCTGTTCGCGCGACTGCCTCGCAATATTGGAACATTTTGTATTTAGAATTTATCAAAACCATAAAGGCATGTGAATAGACCGAGCGTCTAAATTGAGAGACTTGAGACCAGGCGATTGAGAGAATAAAAATGAATGAGAGAGTTTATTTATTTTTTCTATCGGTATATCAAAGTGAGTCAGAAACTCTTCCAATGCAGCTGCTTCCTTTAACTTTTTCGGGATTAACAAAAATACATTGTACGGTCGCCCGGTGTATTTTCTTATGTTTATGATTGAAATATCAGAGCCGGGGGATGAGGGCAGGAGAGAGGAAGTCCCGTAAAACATTCGAAACGCGATTTCGGCTCAGTTCCGTCTAGACTGCGGACGGATGAAACGGTCGTGTGTACGCAGCGCGTGTATTTCTTTCGAGTTTACACAGGCGGGAGCCGCACGCGTGGGAGGATTAATGGTTATCATACCCCGGCTACATGCCGTCGCAATTGTTTTTATGTAGAGGAGTGGCGGGAGAAGAAGAGACGCGGTAGTAAAATTTTACAGCGAGCAGCGTCGTGTACCGTAAGTACGCGAGAGATGCACGAGCGAAAAAGTTTTTCGAGAATAAAAGAAGCTTCTGCCGCGTTGCGTTGCTTGCTGGTTGCCGCCGCAGAAGGCGCAGCACGCTTTGAAATAACCGCGTTTCAACGGCATTTTCCGCGGTACACGGGCGAAACGAACCATAATACCGGATCCCGCAAATGAGACAACCGCTTACCCGCGAGAACCTATTCCCGTTTAAGAAGATTGACGCGTGAATTCGGAACATCGATCGATTCTCGATCTCCTTCAGCTCTATCGCTTAAACTTCCATCGAATTCAATCAAATTTCGAGCCACTTCGCCACAATTTAGTCTAGCTCCGCGCGTAGGTAATTTCATTTTCCTTCGTAATGGCAAGTACCTAACTAAAACTAATCGAGAACATTTTCCGAATCGATTCTTATCGCGATTTCGCACAAAAACGTTATGTTTCAACGCAGCG